CTGGTTTTAGAGGTGATATTAATAGCTTTGGTTTAACACAAAGCAAGCATGCTTTCAGCATTTTTAAACTATTACAAATGTACACACACTGTACAAGTGATCTTACAGATATGCTAAAGATGAAAACTGATGATTCGCAAACCTGTCAGTGAAACTTGTGCGCTTATTTTACAATCAGATATGGCTGTACGCAACTCGAGAGAGAAAGAGAGAGATAAGAGTGTGCAGTAGCAAGAGAACAAGACAAAGACTGACAGAGAACGTAAGCTATTGGGTGTCAGCCAGCGGAAAGAAAGCGGTATTCTTACCCCACTGAAGAGAAAAGACTCATATAATGACATTACAGGTCAATTACTTTGACCTCATCCTGTCACTCATCAACCTACCTCAAGAGACAGAATGACAGGCCTTTAGCTCTCTAAGAGAGACAGAGACAATGACCAGCTGTAACAGTCACATCACAGCTACCTCAGCTCTTAAAAAAAAAGAAAATCACACAGCAAATCTAAATGAACAAAATGAATAAAGAAGTTTAATTTATATGATGAATGTAAGATTGTTCAATAACTTTTCAGGTACCAATACATTTGACTGACATGCCAACATTACAAAAGTTCACCAAAGCAAACAGAGCTTAAAGCAGACTATATTCTCTCTGCTAAGCTTACTCAGTTTTATGAGCTTTGCATAATTATTGCAAAATTGCAGAGATTGTATCAGATAATCCTCCAATTCGCCTGTAAAAGTCCTTACAAAGTGTTCAGTAACACTTCAGAATGAAACTGGCTGGGAAATGGTGCTCACATTCACATTAAAACAAAACACAGTATATACATAATGTAGCATGTAACGACTAAGACGTGCACCAAAAGAATGAAAATGCACGTCACAATGACACAAATATACAATATTAGAGCTCGACTAATATGACAGTCGGACGATAATACTGGCCAATATTGACGCCTGTGGTTTTATCAGTATCAGCAAAAACAGTACCTACAAGCCAATAAGTTTTTCCTTTAGAGTATGGTATTGTTGCTAAGCAACCACGCCCATTGCTGCATATTGCAGTCATTTCATGAATAACTTTTTGTTGTATAACAGTGAACATATGACAGCATAACACTGTTTAATGCAACAACCTTCGCTTTATAAGTACTTCTTGGTCACTAAATTACCATTGTGAGTCTTATTTAGCACCAACCCAGCGGCGCCCCTCTTCTCATGCTGGGGTTGGACTTTAAACGGCTCCCTACTCCCTATGTAGTGCACTATGTAGGAGTTTAAATATTGGATTCTGCACCTCAAATAGTCATTAGGCACTCAGACACATCCATACTCGATACATTATGCACTAATTGGCTGTAGAGGCTAGAATTTCTGAACTTTCATAGCACATTATTTAGGGAGTACAGAGCCGTTTGGGATTCAGTCTGGGTTTGAGGTTTGAGGCTGTTTCTGACTGAAACACGAAAATTTGAAGCGTGTAAGTGACATTTTTTAGGCTTTTATACAGCCGTTTTACAATTCTTTGGTATCTCTGGTGGTTGCTAGGGTGTTGGAGGGTGGATGCTATGTTTTCCAAAGTGGTTTCTAGGATGCTGCTTTGTGTTTGTTATAGTATCTCAGGTGTTGGCTACGGTGCTGCGAGGTGGTCGACATTTAACAAATCATTGTACACCTGATTAAACTGATCATAAACCTGAATGCAAGCTCACCATCCCCAACCAGACCAAACACTGTGGAGTTTTGGTGTTGGTATCTCAAGAAAAAGACATAACGAATAAAAATAGTGTTGCGCCCTGCAAAGCAATGTGCAATCACTACTAACTTATTTGCTCAATTCACACAAAGATGGATGAAGCCTTTTTGCTTTACTGTCATCATCATTTAATAGTGTGGACATTATTTTGGGCATGAATCCGTTTGCAGAATAAAAAATGTACACTCTGGAAGACCACCACTACCCGCCTCAGCACAGCGGATTCCTGAAAGCACTTACTGTCAGGCGCCTCGTCTCATCTTCTTCTTCAAGGGCAGCAAATGAATAGGAAAAGGAAAGCATTCCTTCCTGGGTTGGTGTTTAAAACACGACATAATGAAAGTAAATAAAGAAGAAGAGATGGAAACTATAGTAACCACAGCAACAAACAAACAATCTTCGCTGTCCCTGACCAGGGCTAAACTGTGATTGTACTGTGATTGTTGAGAGAGAGAGAGAAAGAGAGACAGACCCTTCATTGAATGATTACGAGCAGCACCACTATGTGATGATTCCATATATTACTGCATGACCTTTGGTCTGATTACAGGAAGTGAGTTCTAACACCCACGTAGCCCCCTGCACAGCGCACACACTCTACACACTACTGTACAATACAGATGAGGTGTTTTTAAGAGCCCATATCATGAAAAAAACTAATTTTCCACATTTTTGGTAAAACAGCTCAATGTAATGATGTCATACATGCACCATTCAGTACACAACAGTTCTGCTCCACCCATTCACACATAGCTTACAGTTTGGCAGTGTTGCATAATGCTGATGAAAACTAACATAATCCGCACAATGATGTTTCGATCTGGGCTATTTGGGGTAATTTGGGGATCTTTTCTAATGCATGAATCAGCCAGTCAACTCAAGGATCATATTACTGGACCTCCATTGGTAAAACTAGTCCAGCTTGAATTGGGCTTATGACATCTTTCTCTGCAGCAAAACAGGAAAAATGAGGAACAACACAGGTGAAGATGGGCTAATTTGCATATTATGCACCATAGAGCAATCAGATTTCAATCTAATCGGAGACACATTTGATTACAAAGTGTAAATCCATGTTGGTTAAAACCTTACAATCCAGATGCAAGTCACATGAAACAACCAGGTGTAAAGACGCGTAGATTATCTAATAGGTAGAATATCTAATAACTTTGATATGTAAAACTATCAATTTAATCCCAAGGCATTAATAGAGATAGTAATAAGCTACATACATACAAATCATCGTTTATAGGGTACCTTCTGTTGGAACATAAGCCACTAACTCTAAAACCTAAAATTTCCAATTGAGAAGATAATACTTTTTAAATAATTTAATGAATAAAAATAATATTTTGGGGATTTTTTTCAACATTGGTTTTAAAAAATGTTCTTGATTTATTTGAAAGTGAACAGGACAGATTTAATTTATTAAATGAAATTCAATGAATAAATTTATTAAATTCAAAAAACTTTAACTATTCAAAACTGTTCAAAAAGTAAGCAAGAAGTGAGACTGCATCCCTATCCCTCTTGGCCGTACGGTAAGCAGTTCAACTTCACTGGTTCCAAGTAAATGTGTCCCAAAGTCAGAAAATCAGTGTGTGACATTAAGAATTATCACTACCGAAAACACATCATTCCTGCAATTAAATAAACTTTGCGCTTTCGTGGGAAATATTGACTTTCCGTCAGTAAAACTGTTCAAAGCTCTGTTCAAGGTTTGCTAGTCATATACTGCCAAGTGTTTATGAGTTATGCTCAAAATTAGCTAAAACAGTCACTACCAAAACAATTGGGCTACATTCACATTTTCAGGTTGAAGTGGCACAAATCTGAATTTTTGCCCTAATGTGACTCAGATCTGATGTTTTCGGGGCTGTGTGGACACACAAATCTGATCTTTTCAAATACGACCTGAGCCGCTTTCATATGTGGTCCTAGATCGGATACGTATCCGATTCGTGGCCATGCGACCTTAATGTGAATCCTCAGATCGTAATTCATGTGCTGTTTTCCCCCCACTGTGCGTGCGCCAGCATTCAGGGTTACCATGGCAGCAGTGCTGAACAGAAGTTAAAGCCTGTAGAAAAGCAACACATCTCACCTTTTCTGCTGTCGTCTCCCTCTAATAACGAGCAGCTGAGAGCTCATTAGCTTTAGAGTTCATTATTTTCGCAGCGAAGGCTCGTTCTGCTTGTTAGTTTGTTTGCTCATGATGCACGTGACGCATGTGATTCATTCACAAGACGTTACTGAGTAGGATGTGCGCATGCAGGTCATTTCAGGTCACCTGATCGTTCACATTAATGACAGATTTTAATCAATCACCTAAACAACGGTGAATCATGTAGTTCTGCGTCTATAATTGTAAGACTGAATTGTACTGCAAATGTATATACTAGAAAAAATGACTTAACAGCTTTGAGTTAGAGAAAACGTATTTGTTAACAGGTGTTGAAAATGGACTACATGACACCACAGAAATAAACAGGGATAAATGGACGTAAATGCAAACACAATACATCTTTAAATACGCTTATTTGATAAAAGTTTTGTAACCACATACAACCTTTTTTTTCCCCCCTCCTCTTTTTGGTTTTGTTCTGATTATGACTGCCTATTAAAAAACTCAAAAAACAGGTGTCAAAAAAGAAAGTAGCATGAAGAGCTTTATTGTTTCTTTCAGAAGCTGAAACTTTTTGGGTGCTTCTGGTTATAATATGGATGTTTGTAGCCCAGTCTGAGCCCCATTTTAACTACTTTAGGAGATTCTAATCCTTTGCATACAGCCAATCTGTCAGCTTGGTTGTCTCCATGCCAACACCAGCGATGACTGTGATTGGTCAGACAGTTAATGTTGCTGGCGAAGTGTTGTAAAAATCATTTTGTCAAATGTGTGTGCAAGATATCACCAGTTATACATCTGGTTGAATAAATTTATTGTCATCTGAATAAATTGCATGAACAAATTGTGCTCTGTGTGTAAAGGAATTTAGGCTATTTTCATACATAAATACAGGAAAAAATGTTAAAAAACTTTGTGTATTGTTTTTATCGTCCATATTCCAATTCTGTTTAAACAGTTCCACCAGTTCCATTTATGTATTTAGTACAGTATTATTATTAATACTATTATTACAAATTATACCAAAAACACTGCAATGATTCTTGGTGAAATCTGAGATTGTGCCCTGAATCGTTTCCTAAAGAATCAGAATCATATCAGGTGAGTCCTCACCTGTGCGTCCGAGATGGACACGCGCTTGGACTCGATGGTGGGCCTGCGGGCGGCCCGTGGGGAAATATGGTGGTATCGTTCGGCTCCACCCCCTGCAGACAGGTACGTCCCTCTCTCCTGTAGAGACATCTTCCTGCCGGACAGGTGCGGTCGCTGTGGTGGGGCTTTCCGGATCCCCGCCCCATTCCTCAGCCCATTGGTTGATGGGTCTGTTATGGTGATGGCGGCCATCTTATCAGCCAGCTCGGTCTGGGAGGAGGGTTCGGGGTCGGGGTCAGGCTCTGTCCCCATGCATCCAGGATCGCTACTCATCGCCATGACGACGGGGCCACAGGAGGAGGAGCTCGGAGGCAGGGAGAAAGGGGTGTGTGGAGTGTTTTCATCAACTGCTCACCCCTACCCCTCCACGTGGGCCTGTAGTCAGAGTGAGCTAGAGAGAGAGAGGGAGTGAGAGAGAGAGGGAGAAACACATACATAGTCAATTAATTCAGTCCAATTCAATTGAGAGTCCTTTACTAGCATGACAAACAATGGGACATTTGTATTGCCAACTTCAGTTTACAAACTGTTGGAATATTAAAGGCCATATTCTACATTTTCTTGTATTTTATTTTTTTCCCTGAAGCCCAATTACAATGTTTGTGTGGGTTTATGTACCAATAACAGCCATAATTAATTTTTACATGACGATTTTCCAACCTCTCTTTTCCTCTTAGAACTAAACAGGCTTTTAAACCATAGCTTTAAGACTATTACACCACTGGTGAACCATGATTGTTTGAGCTATGCCTTCAGTCCGGGCCATAAATATGAAAAAAGAGAAAAGAAAATATACCTCTATGATAACGCTAATTTTTTGGTAGTATGTTAGCACTAAGCTAATGGTGGTGAACATTTTTAGGCTGTTCTAAATGAACAGATATTTGAAGCTTGCAGAAGACATTTCATGTTTTATAAAGAACATTACACAACCAAAGTAAGAGAGTGAAAGTACACATACAGATGTACGCAAACATTCAGGCACCCTTAGCCAAATTCCATATTTTGTTGATCTTTGAAGGGAAAATAAGTAAATACAACATCTGCAGAAAAGTCTTTAAAAATAACAATTTTCCTCAAATGTTAATACATGCTAAAAAGTAATTTCGACATGGGCAAACATTTGGACACTTCTAGTTGTAAAGTCTCAGAACTTAAATGACTTATTAGCCTTAAATGACTCATTAGAACTGGGTAGGTAAATCAAAAACTGTGATTTGGAATTGCCAAATTGTTCATGATAATTCCAGAGCATAAATTCTCTCTCTTCAAACCTTGTGCTAACATTCAACAATCATGAACTCAGCTGAATGAATATCTGAAAATTAAGCAAACTGATGTCTACAAAGTAGGGAGGCAAAAAAAAAAAAGATATCAAAGCACTAGCTAAAAGTGTCCTTAAGGAACAGCTGTTAAGAGGAACTGCGGAAGTCAAGGCAAGATCTGGAAGACCAAGAAAACTCTCACATAAAACTGGTCATATGCTGGCCAGAAATGCAAAGCAAAACCCCCATATAACAGCAAAGGAGCTGCAGAAGGGTTTAGGTAGCACAAGAGTGATGGACTGTTTTTCTGTGCAATGTTTGCTTGCACAAAAATTATCTGCAAAAAAGAATCATTGAAGGGAAACCATGAGATTTACATCTGAAAAATGCAAAACAACATCTAGATAAGCCAGATGCATTTTGGAAATATGTGCTGTGGACTGATGAAGTAAAAGTGGAACTCTTTGACCAAAGTCTCTAAAGGTATGTCTGGAGAAGAGCATCTGATGAAAAAAACACCTTGTCAACTGTTAAGCTTGGATTGGATCTATTACGTTTTGGGGTTGTGTGGCAGCAAATTTTATGGGTAGATGGAGGAATGAATTTTACTAAATATCAGCAAATTCTGGACGCAAATATGATCCAGTGAGTCAAGAAACTGAAGCTGAAACAAGGCTGGCTTCTACAGCAGGACAATGATAAAAAACATACCTTGAAATCTACCATGAACTACTTCAAGAAACACAAGCTGAAGCTTTTGGAATGACCCTCACAGCCCCCTCACTTGATCAGCACTGAAAATCTGTAGGTAGATCTTGCAAGACAGTCCAAGAATACTGCAGAACTGGAAGTGTTATGCAAGGAAGAGTGGGTGAAAATACCTAAAACAAGGACAGAAAGACTTCTAGCTGGCTACAAAAAGTGTTCGCAAGCTATGATAGTCAAAGGGGAGGGGGTGTTACAAAGTGCTAATTTAGAAGGGTGTCCAAACTTTTGGATATGCCACAATTACTATTTTTTTCTTATTTAGGCTTCTCAAATATAAAGCAACTGTGCATTTACATTTACAAAAATGTATATGTCATAAATGTAAATATTGTCTGCTACTTCTTTTCACTTTAAAAGTCAACAAAATACACTATATGGACAAAAGTGTTGACCCACCTACACATTACACCTACAGGAGCTTTCAGTACATCTCATTCTAAATCCATAAGCATGGATATGGAGCTGGTCCCCACTTTGCAGCTATTACAGCTTCCACTCTTCTGGGAAGCTTTCTACAAGAATTTGGAGTGTGCCTGTGGGAATTTCTGCCCATTCATCCAGAAGAGCATTTGTGAGGTCAGACACATGTTGGACAAGAGGACCTGGCTCACAATCTCTTCACAATCATTCTAGGTCATCTCAACTGTGTTTCATGGAGTTGAGGTCAGGGCTCTGTGCGAGCCAGTCAAGTTCACACCAAACTCAACCATCAATATATGTTCTTTACTTTGTGCACTGGTACTCAGTCAGGCTGGAACAGAAAAAGTTCTTCCCCAAACTGTTCCCACCAAGTTGGAAGCACAGAATTGAAAAAATGTCATGAAAAAATATCTTGGCATGCAGAAGCAAGGGACCTAGGCCAACCCCTGAAAAAGAACCCCATAACATAATCCCTCCTCCACCAAACTTTACAGTTGCCACAATGCAGACAGGCAGGTAACATTCTCCTGGCATTTACCAAACCCAGACTCGTCCATCAGACTGTCAGATAGAGGAGCGTGATTTGTCACTCCACAGAATACGTTTCCGCTGCTCCAGAGTCCAGTGCTGGCATGCTTTACACCACTCTGTCCAACGCTTGGCATTGTGCCTGGTGAAGTAAGGCTTGCATGCAGCTGCTCGGCCATGGAAACTCATGCCTTAAAGCTCCTGGCGCAGTTTTTGTGCTGATGTTAATATCAGAGGAGGTCTGGAACTCTGCAGTTATTGAGTCAGCAGAGCGCTGGCAACTTTTATGCGCTATGCTCCTCAGCACTCGATGACCCTGCTCTGTAACTTTAAGTGGTCTGAGTTGCTGTGGTTCCTTAACTCTTCCACTTTTCAATAATACCACTCACAGTTGATCGCAGAATTTCTAGGAGGAAAGGAATTTTGCAAACTGATTTGTTGCAACGGTGGCATCCTATTACAGTACCACGCTCAAATTCAGTGGGCACAGATTTTCTGAAACCGCTTATCTTTCTGGTGGGGTGTGCTGGAGCCTATCCCAGCTGTCGGAAGGCAGGATACACCCTGGACAGGTCACCAGTCCATCACAGCGTACATTTTATACACAGTGATGTAATTAGACCGGCAGGAATGTAGTGGTGTCTAAGATTAAAACTGTAATAACAGTGGTGAGCACTCATGAACACATACAGAGCAAGTGACTTAGCCACTCTGGTACAGAGTCAACTGAAAATACAAACATACGCAGAGCTCAAAAACTTTTCTATCCTTAATTAACTGATTGTGAAGCAGTAATGGCTACTGTTACAACAAACATGCAGCTTTTAAAAGGAGTTGATATACATCAACAAGCCAAAACATTAAGACCACTCACAAATCAAGTGAATAACATTGATTATCTTGTAACAACAGAGCTTGTCAAAGTCTGGAATCCATCACACAGTAAGTGAACAGTCAGTTCTCATGGTGAACGTATTGGACGCTGGAGAAACAGGTAGCTGTCAAGACCTGAGCGACTTTAACAAGGGACAAATTTTTTTGGCCAGATGACTGTGTAGGAGCATCTCAAAAACAGCAAGGCTTGGGGGGTTCTCCAGGTCAGCAGTTGTGAGTACCTACCGAAAGTGATCCAAGGAGGGACAAACCTCAAGGCTCACGAATGCGCAAGAGCAACAAAGCCTATCCCATCTGATTCAAACCGACAGAAAGGCTACTGTGTCACAAGTCAAAGAAATTTTATGACGGACAGAAAACATAGTGCATCACACCCTGGCTGCATAACTGCAGACCAGTCAGAGTGCCCGTGTTAACCTCTGTTCACCACCAAAAGAACTTTTGGGTCTGGGCACAAAGTGTCACCAATCTGTACATTGTTGCGGGCCAGGTATACCCCTTCACGGCAATGGTATTCTCCGATGGCAGCAGCCTCTTTCAGCAAGATACCACACTGCACACACTGATTGGGAATGGATCGAGAACATGATAAAAATCCCCAGATATCAATCTAATTGGGCATTTGTGGGGTGTGCTGGAATAACAAGTCTAAACCACGGTGGCTCCACCCCACAACTTGCAGGACCTGCTGCTAACGTCATGGTGCGAGATACCACATGGCACCTTCAAAAGCCTTGGCTGGTCGGGGCTGTTTTGGCGGCACATGGAAAACCAACAGCAGAGAGGTAGTCATTATATTTTGGTTCATCTGTGTATAGTTTGTTTGTTTGCACCTATATTTTTTATAACTTTATATGTATATGTGTTATAACTTTATAACACAGACAAAAAAAAAAATCATAGTCTGTACTTGGTGGCACCCAGTCAGTCATACTATTTAATTTATATTATAACTCGTCATATTTGTGTCCATATTGTGCAGGCCTAGTGTGAATGCATTGAATCTTTCGAATGACATGGCCATTCATTTTCTAGCATGCTTACAAAAACATATCACCCGAAGCAAACTTTAAAGTCAGAACTTCACAACCTGTCATGGATTAGGTAACCAGTTTGCATTTCTGCGGTCAGTACAGCAGCCAGATGTGCTCTGATAGAACAGTCCGCTCAACCACAGGTGGAAATGAACTCTCTTTCCACTTACAACAGCTTCAATTTATCTCTCTCTCTGCTTCAATACTCCGCAGCCGTCCTCCTTCCCGCCCTCTTTGCTGAAAGCAAGGAAAGGAGTCCTAAATAAATGCTATTATGAAGATTATATTATTTGTGGCTGGAGGATAAATGAAGGCTTGTTGCGTAACCGCTCTCACTCTCTTAGCTATTACAGTCATTACGGGGACGGTGTGAATTCTGCCACAGCCAGACAAAGTCATCCACACATGATCGGCTAATTGGAAAAAACGTGTCTGAGAGAACTTTGCCTGGAGAAGTGAGATAATGAAGATTAAGTGCAGCA